ATGCCACCCGACAAGTAGTGGGTGCCCACGGCCGCGTAATCGATCTTGAACCCGTCAATGCAGTGCGCCGCCGTCAACACGTACTTGGGCGCGATCAGCGTGCCGCCGCAGCGGCTGTCGGACGTGTCCGACTCGCCGCGGAGACCGGTGATGTACTTGAACTGGTCAACGGGGACTTCAGTGCCGCCGACAATCTCGGGACTGCCGCCTTCGGGGACGATGTCGGCGACGGCGGCCGCGGCGCAGAGCGCGAGGAGCGTGGTGTGGAGCTTCATGGTCGGTGGTCGATAGAGAAACGGAAAATGAAATGATCGAGAGAGGGTGTTCGTCGGTGTCGGGGCGGTCGAACTCAGACTTATGGGTCGAGGTGGGGAACTCAGACTCGTGGGTCGTAGGGGTAGGTCTAGAGCTGGCTATCTTGATTGTGTGTCATAGACCACGTCAGCGTCATGAACAATCCTTGGCCGTCGCGTACACCTGCGTACAATCAAGCTCATGGGTTGTGCTCATGTAGATTCATTTCTTAGCATCCTCTTGTGTCGTCCTTTGTGACTTCTGAGCCACAAGTCGCTAGAGCTGTCGCTAGTGTACCGGTACTTGTATGAGAAAACGCAACCTCTTTCTTATGTGAACACATGCAACTTTAAGCCTCGTCTCCCCGCCGGGGCCGAAGCCAGTGCAGGCGCACGCAGTCTGCCTATCGACCTTGTGCGCAGCACTGCACGGCGAAGCCGTGCCCAAGGCCGGTGCTCTTGCTCGAAGCGCTGCGAGGCCATACACCAAATTGGCCTCAAAGCACAACAGATGTAATGTACGGTACCACCCCACCCGTTTCACCCTACAGTGTAGTGTACTAGTACGCTGTATCAGGCCGTGTACAACTCGAAAGAATTAGATGCGGAACTTTCAATTCGGAGTCCTTTTGGCACTAAGGGTACCTAATATGTGTACCCATGTCATATTCGGTGTCAAATTCGGCTGAAAATAGGTCCCTTAATGGGGCAAAAATCGAGTGCATTTTATACGGCATCTATGTTCACGGCGATAGAAAGTCAACTTTCGAGGGACATGGCGATGGACGATGGGACGATAGGAAGTCTTTCGAAAGTCGATCTTCTCTTCTTCACTTTTATTAGGCACGTTTGTTAGTTCCCCACAATTTATGCGGTAGTCGTCACCCACATTGGTCTATCAAACAATCAATCAAAGAAGATGGAAGTTATCCGGTGCAATAAAAACGCGGTGGTGCGGCCCAGTTCGCGTGCTGTGATACCGGCGATGCATTTTCACCAATCATGTACCGGAATCGTCGAAAAGCCGTGGATTTTGTGCATTTCGACCAGTAGTGGCGTGTAGGTCTATAAGAAAATGCTGCTTGGCGAAAACTAGAGATGACGTTATGTGGGCGCGACTGAGCCTGTGGCCAGAAGCCGATCGATCGCCACCATGATGCTCTAGCAGGGATGCACGTCGCGACCAAGCGATCACATAGCGACGGGCCGCGCGTCGCTGACAAGAGCAATATCAAAGGTGTGGCGCGTGCTTCAACCCAAAGCAGCACAAGTCGTACTGCAATCCGGCGCTCAGGTATCAATACGTCTGACGGCGCATAGGATGCGAGCTTGTCCGTGACCATCGACATGTGTAGGCTTGCCACCGCCGCCATTATTGCGTCCCTGACTGGATAAGGTGAAGTCCTTCGCAATGTACCTCAGGGTGCTCACGTCGCGGTACCAGACGCTTCACAGGCACAAGACCTAGGTCCCAACGCCGTGGAGGCTGCCGAGCCTCGCTCATCCCCACGTGCATCTCCAAGCGAGCTGCCCTTCGCACCCCCGGATAAGTAAGCACCAACAGCTCGTCTTTGCATACTCTCATCTATGGACAGCATCTCGGCGACGTCGCGCTCTACGACCGCTGCGACAGCGCCGCGCTGAGCGAGATCATTGCCAGCCAGCGCTAGCGCCTGCTGGGCCAAGTGTTGCGCATGAGTGAAGACGTCCCTGCCAGCATTGCCGCCGCCCGCTTCTTTGCCGCGCCCGATGCCCCCCGTTTTTTAGGCTGCACCAAGATCACGTTGCCGATCATCCTGCACCGCGACCTCCAGTCGTTGACGCCGCCTGGGTCGCTGGCGTCTCTCGAGGACCTCAACAAACTGCGTAGCTTTGCCGCCGATCGCGAAGCCTGGAAGAAAGCTACGGAGCTTGTCGTCATGGGCCTCACCCGCGGCCGCAAGGGCCCCTGGGCGACTACAGAAGAGCAAGACGATCCCCCGCGCCGCCGCCTGCACAGCCACGGCCTGGCGAATGAATGAAGAAGAAGGAAATTGCTAGTCTCTGCGTATGCGAACTCTTTGTAACAACGAAGATAACGCGAAACACGTTCATATATATGGACCAATGCGGGTGTTGCATTTGACCAACAACAAAACGAACAACATCAGCCAATGCCCAAAGGCAGGGTTACAGCGATTTCAGACCAACGCGCGTGCGGAATTTCACCTACCACCTAATTGGTACTCCCCGAATGAATTTCACCGGTGTCGGCAATGTCGCACTGGTTTTCGCACTCGCATCGCTCGATGATGGCATCGAATATCGACTCAGCTCTCAAAAATGCTATGCCATGAGGGTTTTAAACCATGTCGCGGCCCCTGCGTCTTTCAAGCCCAGTTCCAAAGGTAAGTAAAGAGTCCAAATGCGTCGACAATTCAATCCTGAACGAATGCGATAACAAGACAACCGTCCCAAAGA